TGTTAAAGAATATTTTTCTTCTAAAACTTTTTTCTTGCAGAAATTTGGGAGTAACCTAAGTCCAGAAGTAAAGAACCAGGAAGTTTTTCTATTTCCTCAACATATTCTGAATTTCGAGAAAAAAAACCAAAAGTTCCAATGATTGCAAAGTTTTGGCATAAATGTTTACCTTTAAAAATATCTTTTTTCATGTGAAAGCTTTTTAACAAATTTTCCATTTTTCCTGAGATTTTGCAAAAAAATAGGTTTTAATTTGAGGCCATCACGATGCCCCTTTTGTAGGAAGGACGAGGAGGATATTAAACATGTTTTCTTTCATTGTGATAATATAAAATCTTTTTGGCAAATTTATTCGGTGAATTTAGGAATTACTTTTGATCCTAATGCGGGTTGGAGGAATATTATACAAGCTTGGCAATCTACTGGAAATTTTTACTCCGCCAAAAAGACGCTTATCATGGTTATACCTGCCTTCATTTTGTGGGAGCTATGGAAATTCAGAAATAAAATTCTATATGAAGGTATCGGGTTTTCTTTTGAATCTATTCTTGAAGCTATTTAGTCTCACATTTTCAACAGGTTGAGTGTGCATAAGCTAAAGGCTAGAGACATAGCAGAGCAAAAATCAATTGAGCTAGCCACCAGATATCAATTGAGCTAAAGTGGAGACTTTCAAGCCAAAAACAACGATATCACTTCGATGGCAGCCACCAGACTTGGGAGAAACCACTCTAAACTCGGATGGCTCGGCGCTAGGTCAATCTGGAGTAGTGGGATGGGGATATGTACTCAGGGGCATGAAGGGTGATTTTATCAGGGCAGAATGTAGCTACATGGGAATGGCAACAAGTTTTGAAGCAGAAATAGCAGCAATCCTCAATGCTCTTCGATACTATGTGGAAAAAAGAATATCTCGAGTGGTCGTTCAATCAGACAATCAGGCGATAGTCAATTTGCTTCACAGACTAAGGGCTATCCATGGAAGCATCACCAAAAGCTTAAGGAAATTCAATGTTTGATTCTACTCTCCAATTCTAAAATTTTACATGTCTTCCGAGAGGTCAATAGCATGGCAGATGAACTTGCAAAAATGGCATCACAAGGATCAACTTGTCGATATGCCACTCGAGAACAACTACCAGCCTCTTTGCTGGGCAAATGGTATCTCGATAAGTGTTCATTCCATTATATTAGAATTAGATAAGATTTATATTAACTCATTAGAATAGATAGAGATATCAGGGGATTTATGTGAAATCTTTGTAAGACATCCTCCTAGATATAAGAATCTACACAACAAGGGATTGTCGGGGATATTGCACTATCTTTGTAAGGCAATTCATAGCTGTAATTTCATAGGAACCGTTAGGAATTTTCTAGGTAAACTTTTGTAAGGCGGTTTCCTTTTTCGTTTGGGTAAGTCTTAAGTACTGCCTTGTGTAATTTTTTCACTTATTTTAATAAAATTGGGGAGATGCTTGCCATGTAGTGCCCTGGTTCACCAAAAAAAAAAAGAGTTATAAACACATATATTTACTGAACACAACATATTATTATCATACAAAAATGATCATATAAACATACAAAAAACAAATAGACTAACATTACAAATATGGAGATGAGTGCATAAACGGTAATAACCAAAAGTTCAAAAAATGCACTTAAATATTTGTCTAGACACATGAAGACACTAGTACTTGCGCAAGTCTTTCGAATTAATGTTTCAAGAATCGAAACCATGTCCCTTATTGAATTTTTTAGGAATTTCATATAGACGTCACAATCGACTATCACATATCAAGTATCAAGTATTAAATGATCACTATATTTAATACACGCATTTTGTTTCTTGATTTCCTGCCAGATGTAGGAAATGTTTTCGTTTGCTCCTTATGATTAACATCAATACTTTGAAGAAACTTATGCAACAAGTTGGTTGCTCATTAATGTTTTGCACAATCACCCAGCAACATTTAGCCGGTATATAACTTGTCAAAACTTCTAGTTTTTCAAGCAATTTTGATTTTACTTACACATCTTTAGGGGGGGGTGTGTGTATTGTGTCTTTTCATTTATTATGGCCAATAAATCTAATGTCTGCACTCATAATAGACTTTCATTTCATGATTCTCATCATCATTCATTTTACTATGCTACAGTATAAGCAAATTTTATGTCAATATTTTATTACCGATCAACTCCATCTTTCTTTAGTAATGAGATCTCGCAATCATTAAATTTCACAAGTACTTATATTATTCTTTTGGAAGTTTATTCACAATAGAGGGGAACTATTCAATTTCGAAACTCTTCTAGATTTTTATCATTCGTATTTGGTGTCTCAATAAATAAATTCTCATATATAGGGATCCTTATTGGAACCGATGATTCCACCAGTTATCAAATGGACATTCAATTAAAAAATAAAGGTAGATAATCCTTCAAGGACACAATATCAAATTTTGATCATTAACATCCTTTTACATACAATATAATTAAACATTCGGCCAAGTAAATATCTGATCTTAAACATTATCTCTTGAACTTCATGTCTATGCTATTGAGAATCATGGTGAGATAATGATCTGATTTATGAATTGGTTGTTCAAACTTCTCCCTCTGATGTTGGGATAACTAAATTGTCAAACCGATGGTCAGCCAATAGAGTACTAAATTGATCTCCTTTCAAAGTAATTAACTCATGAAACAGACTATAAGCCAATTGAATAGTAAAAATCAACATCACTAATCTCAAAGGCTAGAGTTTCAAAACTCATCATTTATTCTTAATCCCTTTTGGAGGCTATATATTTGTGTACATTGTAGTGGAGCAATTGTAATGTAAACCGCACATTTAAAATTTGAAAATCAATATGTATGCTTTATGACCAAAACCCAATGTATGGGAGAATATTTATAATGACCCATTTAGTCATATACATATATATATATATATATATCATTGGTGTTTTTTATATGTTGAAACGCGTTCTCAATTATCTATTAGGTATTTATTATCCGTAAGTAATGATTTTAATTCATTGAACATTTAATGAACAATCCTCCTGGACCTTTTCACTTTCGTTTGTATAAGCATTTAATGTTCAATTATTCTAGTGTTAAAACATTTATTCTAGTATTGAAACATACATTCACCAGAACTATCAACTCAAAATTCATGTAATAATAGAATGTGAAAACTGCATGTAACCAAATTAGCTTTGTAATTAAGTTCCACAAGCTCCAGGTTGCAATCATACATGTGGCTAACTCATCAGTATATGGGTTATTACCCTAAATATCAAAGTGGTTTACAATATGGTGAATAAATCCACATATGTTACCATGTAACTCTATATTGTACTATAGATTCAGTCTGAATTCTATTTCTAGTAATAGCATTGTAGTCACGTCTCACAAACACAGAAGTATGTGGGAATCGATTAGTTTGAAGAAACTTCTAATTCTCCAAATTTAAAACACATGAACTTTCTAATTTATTTCACCTTTTAAACTATGATGGTTCAACTAGTTATGTCGAATCCGTAAAATTGTTGTAATCAGTTAACTTCTGGTTTGACTTGTTGTGACGGAAAATGAATTTCTGGTTTCCTAGTAAACTTTTAGTTTACTATAAAACTCAACCATAGTTATATATGTATAATATTTTAATACGGAAGAATGTGAAGGTTAAAGCAATTTTGTTCTAGAAATTGTATTTTTGATGTACAAGTGATAGCACTTTCTGACAATTGAAAATCTTTTCTCTAATTCTTTTAGCATTAGTGCAAAATTTTATTTGCTCTAACATTTTATATTTATTTTTCCAGAGTCAAATTTACAAATTCTTTCTTCTGTAGACAGTAATTAACTATGCCAGAGCAATTCCTATCCAATGTAACATTTATTTTTTTTAACATGCGTATTTGTTATTTAGTTATTTTCATTCTGCTCAAGTGTTCTTACTAATAACAGCACACTATAATCTTATTGAGATTTTTGGAAACTTATGGGATATTTCATCCAACTTTATGAATTAATACCCTATGCCCTTAAGGATATTTTCTCCAATTTTATGGAGAAATTCATCTGTGTTTTACATGAGCATTTAATTAATTTTCTTCTAATATAATAATAATGACCTATCTTAAATTCATAAAATGACAAGAAATAGTAAAGAATATAACAAAGAAATTACTCAATTTAAAAGATAAAACAAAACTACTATCAGATGTTTTATCAACGTGACATCACATTCAGGGTGATTATCAGAAATATTAATAAAGACTGAGAAGTGACATCCCCTTCAGAGTGATTATCAAAAACATCATTAATAATATCATTTACATCGTAGTTATCATGAGCATCTTCTCGATTCTTGATAGAGAATAAATATGTTTTTGGCACACATGTAATTTTCCGAGACTTTTTAGTACTAAATGCAGATGACACATGTTGGTACATATTTTAGATGCGTAAGAGAAATTAAACCAGAATTGAAACCAAAACTCAACTACACCGTGGTTTCGGCCGAGAACAGAAACTGAAATAAGCAACAGTGAAGTCCTGTTCAAAATATTCTATGAGTTGCCTATTTACAAGTCAGAATCTCTGTTTCCTGAATCAAAATTGTGCCTACATATCGAGATGGCTAACTACAACGCTTTATCTGCTTGATTTTGTGTGCGAAAAGAGTCTTCTCATACATTACTGTTTCAGTTCTTCGAATTCACAATTGAAAATGAGAATCGGATCGGCTGAAATCAGCACACCAATTGAACAATCAGAACAACAAACAACAAACATGCGAAGACTGCGGAGTCTTGAAAATTGACCAACTAGAAAGAAAAGTCTTGATTTGAGCCTTAAGGATGCTAGACATTGTATTGATTCTACTCCTTGGTAGTTTATTAGGCATCTGTAAAGTTCAGTAATAAAATGGTTCCTCCAGAAGTCCATGAAAATCTGATAACATTTCATTTTCCCCTTCAAGCATGTTCTCAACAAATGAACCACTTGCTAGAGTTGAAGCCTCGGCTGTCTTCATGAGCATATTCATTTCTTTTTTTGGCTGCATCAGAAGTGTTTTGGACTTGAATTGAATTCAGTTCATCAGTTGGTGGAAATACAATTGAATTTCCTTGCTCTTGTGAACTTGTTGATACATAACAATCTTCAAGCAGAAAGTCGCACCAGCTGAACCCCGAAGATGGAGTGATGGCTTGGTTTGTTTTCGAGGGTGGACACTCTGGCGATGGCGATGACGATGATGCAGATGAATAAGTGCATTCAATCTGCATTTGCTGGCTGGAATGTTTCGCGTAATCTGTGGCGTCAGTAACCATTGTAATGGCCTGAAGCTGTGAAAGAAGATCTAGTGACTGATTGCCAGCAGATATACCATCATTGCTAAAGAAATGTTGTTGAGTGGAGGCTTCAAGTCCTAATGGTGCAATTCTTGTTGAGTAATGGCTGTGAAAGTAAGAAGGCCTTTCCTGTTGGTTTTGATTATATAGTTCTGATTTCATGTTAAATGCATTCTTCATGTCTCTGCTGAGACAGCCGAATCTAGTTCGTGCTTTTTGGAAGCCACTGATGTTTCCATAATCTGCAAGGATGAGAGAAGGGCCTATGAGTGATTGGATCAATTCCTAATGCAGATAGCTTCTTCTTCAGCTTAGTGTTCCACAGATTCTTCATATCATTATCGTTTGCCCTGGAAGCAGTTGTGCTATTATGGTCCACCTACATTGCAAAACAAAATCAGTGTTTTCAAAAGGAATGAACTAACCATTTTAGTGCATACCAAAAGAATTCGAAATTGGAGGTTGAAGCAGAGCAACCTAACTACATTCACATGAGAAAAAATTGTATGAGCAAAACTTTTGAAAGTAAGATCCACGCATATTTAGCTTTCATTTTACATAAGATTCATGATTTATTAAAATCAATGTGAAAGCGTTTACAAATATGTCACTATCCATAAATTGATTGACTTTTTACCTGCTTCCTGTGGTAGAATGGAGCTTTATAATCAAATCCTCTTCCTCAGGTGTGAAGTTGTCATCCCCAAGATCAGGCGGCCTTTGATTGCCACTCCCTTTTATCCTGCAACTCTTTCCACATTTCCTTAATCCTGTTAAACACATTATAAGCAGAAGGGCTTCATCAATTATATGCCAGTGATCATATCATTTCTCTAACCCTTAGGAGAATGACTAAAATAAATAAAAGGAAAATTAACCTGCAGCTTTCTTTGGCATGGATGTTGTTACACCCCCGATAACCGGATATGGATTTCCAACAGGAATACGGCAAAGGAAAGCCTCGATCCAGCACCACAAAACTCTATGAAAGTAATAGGAATCGTGCATAAAAGAAAAGGCAAGCAGGCAACCGAATTTACAGGTAAAAACCAAACCTCGTATTATAAACTCGCAATACAAGGAATTTACTCCAGAACTTGCACAGCACAAATCCCAAATCTTTCCTTTGGGTTGCTGGCTAAGTTCAACTGGGATTTATACAAGGGGACGGCAGTTATAACTGCCCTAGGAATTCAAGGAAACATGGGTACAACACTGACACACAAAAAGGTAACCGTCTGTAACCGTCCAGGCCACCTGTCTCGAGAAAACTTGGTCCGTTTCCGCCAGCCGCACTGAAACCCGGATCGACTCACCGCAGTCTGTTAACCATGCACCGGGATTTTTCGGTCCCGTTCCACCCGTTTCAGCAACCGTCCGTGCCAACAGACCGAATTCCCACAAGACCCAGCCTTTCCCGAGATTTTTCATGCCGGTTCCCCCCAAACTCGGTAACCAGCAACCAATGCCAGAAAGTCCCGCAACACCATTCCGTTCCAGCCCAACTCAAGAGCCAACCCCGACAGAACCAGGGACAAGCATCACCCGGCACTTGTTTTCCCGCATCACATGCATGCCGGCTGCGTGTGACATGGGATCTAAGGATTTAGGGGTCTAACAGACCTCCCCCACTTGGAGAGGTTGACGTCCCCGGCAACTCAGAATGCCTTGCAACATACTCGGCAATCTTATCCTCAAATTGCCAAAGATCCTTAGCATCAACCCACTCGGCATTGAGCCGATCTTCACCCTTCCAATGCACCAAATACTTGGTCTGTCTATTCTTCTTTCTTTGCCCCAAAGTTTCATGATTCAGAATAGCTTCCACCTCTTTATCAAACTGCTTCCTGATCACGGGCGGAGCTTGTTTAACTTGCTGCGTATCAGGATCAGAATCATCCTCGACATACTTCTTCAGGAAACTAACATGAAACGTTGGGTGCACTTTCAACCGGTCTAGCAGCTTAACCCGATAAGCTACGTTACCAACCCTCTCAACAACTTCAAACGGACCATCAAACTTGGGCACCAGGCCACCGTGAACTGATTTACTACTGATTTTCTTCCAAATCTGAGGTGTAAGTTTCAATAGAACCAAATCCCCAACCTGGAATTCAACATCCCGTCTATGAGAATCAGCATACCTCTTTATCCGTTGCTGGGCAACTTGCAAACTGTCTCGAGCTTCATCAACCAGCTCTTGCTTTGCCCTAGCAAACCGATATGCCGCGGGACATTTTCCCCCATTATTCTGGACAGCAACTTCGTGTGGAGTCAAAGGTTGCTGCCCGTTTGCCAACTCAAAGGGACTCAAACCGGTTGCTGACGACTTGTGCAGATTGTAGCAAAACTGCGCAACATCCAGCAACTCTAACCAATTCCGCTGACTGGCTGTCACATAATGCCTCAAATACTCCTCCAACAAACCATTGATCCTCTCTGTCTGACCGTCGGTTTGTGGATGATTGCAGTAGAGAATTTCAACTGAGACCCCATTGTGTTAAACAATTGAGTCCAAAACCGGCCAGTAAATCTCGCGTCTCTATCACTGATTATATCCTCCGACAAGCCAAAATACTTTATCACATTCTTGGAAAATAACTCAGCAGCCTTGTCAGCAGGGCATGCATGAGGCGCAGCCATAAAAACAGCATACTTGAAAAAACGGTCAACTATAACAAGAACGGAAGCCATACCTTCAACTTTCGGGAATCCACCAACAAAGTCCATTGAAATCGACTGCCACGGTCTCTCAGGAATTGGCAAAGGTTGCAACAAACCGACTTCCCTCTTCTTTTCTGTTTTATCCAACTGACAAACAAGACAAGACTTAACATAAGCCTCAATCTCATCTTCCATCTTCGGCCAAATAAACCTACGAGATAGCAAAGCTCTCATCCTTTCAACTCCTGGATGACCAGCCCACTTTGCATCATGAGTCTCTCGCAGTAAAATTCGTCTCAATTTTCCAGCACTTGGTACATAAACCCGGCTACCTTTAGCATAAAGTAACCCGTCTTTCAACCAGTACCATTTCACCGTGCCTTTCTCAACTTGATCCTTCAACTTTACGTAGACAGGATCATTAAGGGACTCAACCCGAATCAACTCCATGAAATCTGAAACAACAGCGGACATAGAGGCAACATACTCCCCCACAAGTTTCCGACTCAAGGCATCTGCAACAGCGTTATCCCTTCCCGGCTTGTGCTGCCAATCAAAATCAAATTCAGCCAGGAACTCTTGCCATCTAACTTGTTTCGGAGTCAGTTTCTTCTGGGTCTTGAAATATGTATTTGCCACATTATCCGTCACCACCGTAAACTTTGTTCCCATCAAGTAATGCTTCTAGATTTCAAGACAATGCACCACGACAGTCATTTCCTTCTCATGGGTAGTGTATCGTCTTTCACAATCCTTCAGTTTCCGGCTTTCAAAAGCAATGGGGTGTTTGTTCTGGACCAAGACTCCCCCAAGTGCATGATCTGAAGCATCAGTGTGTACTTCAAACGGCAAACTGAAGTCCGGCAAAAATAACACGGGCTCAGTTGCAATGGCCTCCTTCACAGCTTGAAAAGCTTCTTCACAACCCGCATGCCACTCCCAAGCAACACTCTTTTTCAGCAAATCCGTCAAAGGAGCTACCAGCTTCGAATAGCCCTTGATAAACCGACGATAGTAATTTGCCAAACCAAGAAATGATCTCAACTCAGGAACTTTTGTAGGGGCCGGCCAATCAACTACGGCCTCAACTTTCTTTCGGTCCATCCGAATCTGTCCTTCACTGAGGATATGTCCCAGGAAGGTAATCTGCTCCATGCAAAATTCACACTTCTCCTTCTTAACATACAACTCGTTCTCCCTCAGCTTCACAAAGACCTTCCTCAAATGTAAGAGATGGTCTTCAAGAGATTCCGAATAGACAACAATGTCATCAAGATAAACAACAACAAACTGGTCCAAAAACTCATACAACATATCATTCATCAAATTACAGAACGTGGCAGGAGCATTCGTTAGACCAAACGGCATTACAAGGAACTCAAAGGAACCATACCTGGTTACCACAGTAGTTTTCTCCTCATCACCCTCCGCAATCCGAACTTGCCAATATCCAGCCTGTAGGTCGATCTTTGTGAAGATTCGGCCCTTAACCAACCGATCAAACAAGTCATAGGTATTTGGAACCGGATACTTGTTCTTGATGGTGATCTTATTCAGCGCCCTATAATCCATACAAAATCTCAACGAACCGTCTGCCTTCTTCTGAAACAAAACAGGGGCACCATAAGGAGCTTTAGACGGTTTGATGAACCCACCTTCCAGCAATTCATCTAACTGGCGCCTCAATTCAACAAGTTCAACAGGAGACATCCTATAAGGAGCTTGTGCTGGTGGTCTAGCTCCAGGGATCAACTCAATGCGATGATCCGTTACCCGTTTAGGAGGCAACTTCTTGGGTAATTCTGGGGGCATCACGTCTGCAAATTCATCAAGTAAATCAGCAACCGACTGAGAAACGTCCTGGAACACATCCGGTTTCACTTCAATCAGCACAGCCAAGAAAGTTTGTTCACCTTGCTTCAAACCCGTTTCTACTTGCATTGCCGACAGGATTCCCTTACCCTTATCACCACCCGACTTCTTTCCAACACTTGAACATTTCACAAACATGGGACACTTCTCATCAGCGATCATGATTCCGTCCAAATGTGGAATTGGGAAGGCTTTGTTGACATACATCCACTACTTCCCAAGAATGATGTCAAAATCGTCAAGGATTCTCACAACCATGACATTACACAAACTAGTCCAACCATCAATAGTAATATTAAAGTTCACACGACCAAGAACGGCCTCCGCTTCAGCGTTAACCGTTTTGATCTTGCTATTATGGATCTCAATCTTCAGCTTCAACCGATTCGCCTCGCGCTCGGTCATGAAACTATAAGTTGCACCACGATCACACATAGGCAACACTTCAAGGCCGTTTACACAACCTTTTATATACATTAATGAATTCTAAACAGTGGGGGCTCTAATCCCACTAATAGCACACAACAACTGCAAAGGATTAACACGGGAAGGAACTTCACAATCAGAATCATTACCTTGACTTGCAATGATCACATTCACCTTTTCCTTGTGAGGACAATCGCGAGCAAGGTGAGGACCGTCACACTTAAAGCATCCCCTCTTCTTCTCAGATTTCGCATCCGATGAAACGGTCTTGCTCTCAGTCACTGCCTTCTTCTTACCCTTTTGATAGGACTTCCCATCTTGGTTCCCTTTGTCCTTCTTAGTCTGCTTCCGGTTACCGGCAGAACTAGACGAAGTCTTGTAGTCCACCAACTTCTCGGCAGCAGCAACGGCTTGGGACAAATTCTACACCCCTTGCCGATTCAACTCCGTCTGAGCCCAATTCTACAAGCCCTGCATGAAATTGAAGAACTTATCTTGTTTTGACATATCCTTGATATCCAGCAACAGAGAATTGAATTCCCTCACATAATAACGGACAGAACCCGACTGCTTCAACTTCCGAAGGGACTCTCTAGCAACCCACGACACATTAGTAGGAAAAAACTAAGTCTTTAACTCACATTTCATGTCAGACCACGTTCTGATCTTGGCAGCAGACTCGTCTTCACACCGAGTTCGCCACCACTGCTTTGCATCTCCAGAAAGATACATCGCAGCAGCATCAACTTTCACTTGTTCCGTCACAACCTTTGTGGTCTTAAAATACTGCTCCATGTCCCAAAGAAAATTCTTCAACTCCTTGGAACTACGAGCCCCACCAAAGGTTTTGGGTTCCGGCACTTTAAATTTCTCACTCTGAAACTGATCATTCCCACCCGAAGAAGATGCAGAAGAGGCCATAGCCCGCTTCATCAAAGCTACATCGTCAACCAAAGTGTGAAGAATAGCCAACTCTTCTTCAACTTCGGCCCTTGACACCCTGCCATCAACACTACGCACTAAAACAGCAACATCCTTCTTTAGGGACTCGATAGCGATGTCCAACGTAGCGTAGGAAGAGGAAGGCGAAGGTTGATTCCGGACCAACTTCTCTAGATCCGCAAGCTTAGCCAACACACCTTCAATCGAACTCTGGCGGCTGGTAATCATCCGGAACAAACTGAGACTTTGATTTTCAGTCCCAATTATCCGTTGAATACCTTCAACGACAGCTTCCAAGCACCCCACCCGTTCTGTGACAGTTCCTTGCGTGTTCACCATGATGAAACACGACAGGAAAAACAATCGATACCAATCAGAGTAACACAACAGAAAAATGAAGGTCACCAAAGCCCGAAAACGGGCTTTGATACCAACTTGTTACACTCCAGTTAACCGGATATGGATTCCCAACAGGAATACGGCAAAGGAAAGCCTCGATCCAGCACCACAAAACTCTATGAAAGTAATAGGAATCGTGCATAAAAGAAAAGGCAAGCAAACAACCGAATTTACGGGTAAAAACCCAACCTCGTATTATAAACTCGCAATACAAGGAATTTACTCCAGAACTTGCACAGCCCAAATCCCAAATCTTCCCTCTGGTTTGCTGGCTAAGTTCAACCGGGATTTATACAAGGGGACGGCAGTTATAACTACCCTAGGAATTCAAAACATGAGTACAATACTGACACACAAAAAGGTAACCATCAGTAACCGTCCAGGCCACCTGTGCCGAGAAAACTCAGGTCCGTTTCCTGCCAGCCGCACTGAAAACCCGGGACTGCACCCAGCCGCAGTCCGGTTAACCATGCACCGGAATTTTTCGGTCTCGTTCCACCCGTTTCAGCAACCGTCCGTGCCAACAAACCGAATTTCCACAAGTCCCAGCCTTTCCCGAGATTTTTCATGCCGGTTCCCCCAAAACTCGGTAACCAGCAAACCAATGCCAGAAAGTCCCGCAACACCGTTCCGTTCCAGCCTAACTCAAGAGCCAACCCGACAGAACCAGGGACAAGCATCACCCGGCACTTGTTTTCCCGCATCACATGCATGCCGGCTGCGTGTGACATGGGGTCTAAGGATTCAGGGGTCTAACAGATATCCAGTTGCTTCTTGTTCCTTGCTTTGTTGCATATGCAAGTGAACTTTTAGCATCTTCCTCTTCCTCCAGCCAAAGACCATCTTTCATTTTCACCTTGTTCTTTTCATAGCAAGGAGGTTTCACCATTTTTCATCTGAAAAGATATTGCACTGGAGTAAGGCAAAATCAGCAAAATAGTGGGAGAGATATAATGATCGGATCAAATGCCAAGATACTGAATGAAACTTAATGTAACAATAGAGAGTGGACGGAAGCAAGAAAAAGGCAAGGAAAACATAAGGCAGATGACTTCCATTGCACTGGTTTTGCATGACAAAATGCATGTCTTTCAACTGTAACTTTGAGGGGGTATTTGTTTAAAAAAGAAATACTACGAGAGAAATTACTCCAGTGTTGCACACACTTTAGACTGTTGTGTGCACCTTGCATCAAATTGATTGGACTTTTCAGTTCAGGTTCATTTCGGGTGATTAATTTGGTTGAATGTAGAATCACGCGTTCTTCATTCAAATGCAAAACTAGCTGGTCTTGATTACTTCATTTTATAATGATCCCAAGTTTGATGATCTATTAACTACTATAGACTGAAGTTCTACTAAATTAAGAGACAACATAAGGAAAATGCAATTCAACCTTTGGATGAAATGCGGCTCTGTTTCTTTTCTTTTTACCTTTTTTTCCCCCTTTAAATCAGTGCAAATTTTCCCTACACAGATTTCTTCACAATGTAAAAGAGAAGAATAGAAAATTTTTAGTTGTCCAGGAAAAGATGTTATAACGTGCAAGATATCCTTCGAATCAAGTCCTCCGGCTTTCAACCTAACCAGACTTAGAACTGTTAATAAAAGCTTTAACAATTGAAGGATGGTTTGGGAGAATATGATGATCAAAATTTAATTTTCTTACCTGCATTACGAATGCTTCAACTAATTTTTGAGCGTTGACTCATTAAAATTTCGAATTCAAGTATTGAGGATCAAGGCCATATATAGATTTTCCTAAATAGTTGGAATGAGAGCGAAGGTATACACAATGAGAATCTCAAACTTTTAGGGTAATTTTTAGGTCAAACTTTAGGGTTTCGATTTTTTTTCTTTTTAGGGTAAACGATTTCAGTGTAATTAAGGTTGATTTCTTCCTTTCATCTCCTCTCTTTAATGACCTTACAGATGAGAGTCTGCTTAATGGATTTGGATTAATTATCTGTGTGATGAATGCCATGGGAGAGGCGCATATATGTGGCCTCAAGGATACTGGCTTCCAGTAGTATTCCTTCCTGCCGAAATCGCGCGCTCATAGGGGAGCTTTGATTTCATTCTTGACAGCTCAAATGTGCTCACAAAATGATTATCGGCTTTTCACTTTTACTGCAAATTTCGGACTTAAGATTTTAACTTAGGTTTAAGGCCACCACTTCTCTTCCTGCACTGTTCTTGTTTGATTAATGTAATTTTGGTTATTTTGTGTTGGCCTAGGCAAAAGATGTAACCTCCAACTTCATTATGTACCTACGTTTTGTTGATTGTTTATTGATTCTTCTTGAAGTCTAGAAAAAGGTTATTCTCGGTAAGAAATAGTCCAAACTATTTTTTTCTGGACTATTTCTGAGATGGAGTACTGCATTTTATAACCGGGGATTTAATTGGCCACTTGGGTTAAGTTTTTAAAATGAAATAGAACAATAGACCAGTTTATTATACTCAAAAATAATGTTAAACCACAAAGGGGAAAAAAAAAAGAAAGAATTTTGTTAGTCATTTCTCTCCCAACCATAGGCAACAAGCCTCAAAGAAATTCAAAACAAAATAATCAAGTTTCCCACGCAATATTTGGAAGAGAGACAACTTTTGGGTAACAACAAATAAATGAACTATGCTTTCTGAATTCCTATTTACACTACTGCACAACACACTTTATAAGCACACCCTTTAATTAATAAATGAATAAATAATTCACGGTTGCTAGGTTAAAAATTCATTATACATTCAACAATTAATTAAGGAGCGTTTGAATATGTGATAACCATGCTTTCAATTTCACTCTCATTAGAACACTCATCAGTCATCACAACATTAGCCGAGTCTCTCTTTTCATTTTAGCAATTTGCTTCTCAAAATCTCTGAATCTCCAATCCACTGCAATAAACCAAGATATCCAACCTGCCCCAAGTTAATTGCTCACCCTCCATATCCACATCCACAAAGATCACAGAACTCCAAAGCTTCTCTAAAGTGATTGATTACCTATGACCTCTATCTATTTCCCACTCCCTGAAATTTAAATTTGTAGTGTGTGAACAGTGATTTACGACACTACTGGCATGACTCATTGGCTAATCGAAACAAGGATAAGCAACAAAGGTTAGATCCTAGACCCTACATATTCCACAAATTTTGACAGCATGGTATACCTCTCCCGAAAATCTTTCCCACTAGTCTATTGAAGAGCGTAGTTAATTTCTTTCCATTGATATTCACAGCACCTAAACAACTTTACAAATCAATTGATGCTAAAACATACAGATTGAGTCATATAATAACCGCAAAACAAGCCGACAAAACCCAGAGAGGAAAACCAACCGATGGTATCAAACTAACCGATTAGAGAGAAAGTAGGATTGATGATTGAACTCGAAGAAGCAAAGTAGCAAACTGTAGAAACCTTCCCCACTCAAAGAGCTGTGGCGTTGGGTTGATAGAGAAAAAGAGACAGTACGATGTACCTGCAAATATACAAAAACTGGTATAAGTTGTGGTCAGCGCTGACAGACTTACAGTAATGTACCAGAAGCACGAGAATAGCTTATTCATAAAAGTAGGGAAGAAGACGCAAGGATTTGCAACATTAGAAAAGTAATATATGGGGCTGCCATAAGATCAAGTCAATCACAATGATATTGATTATGAAAGTACCTGAGACCTGTGAACTAGAAAGTGTTGGAATAATCCAAATACTGTAGAAACCTTCACATCAAATTATTGAGAACTATACAAAAGCGGAAGCGTAACTTAATCTGTAGTGGCAAGAACATTAATCCAGTTTGGCCTTCCAGATGATTCCGTCAAGTCCTTGCGGGAACCTCTGACAAATGGGTAGTCGGAGATGTCAAGTCCTTGCGGGAACTTCTGACAAATGGGTAGTCGGAGATTTGGCATGACGGCTCATCCGGGGACCACAACTAATATATAATAGGGTTTCCGGTTCCACCCATCACAGAACAGGAATCTGGGTCTTAGGGTTTCTACACAATACTGGGCCACACCTTATAACTTAATTATTATAATTAGTCCAAACTTTAGTTGATTTAATTAGATCACTTTATGTGGGCTAGTATTTTATGATAGCTTATAATATAATTATATATATTTGTGTATAAAGTCCACATACATCTTACAGAAAGTTCTTGGCAATCTCTCTCAATTACAGAAGCGCAACGGCTGAGAAGAAACAATCACCAATGAAGACTTGTCCAGGACAATGCCTGGGGAGTAAAGAGCTGATTCCAGCAATGTTACTTCTTGCAAGCTTATATGAGGGATTTTGCCATTTCCACATGGGATAATTCACGTCATTATCCTGTGACTTATTCTCCTGCAAGAACAAAAAATTGCCCAAAAGTTACATAAACTCACATAATAGGAATCAAAATTCCTCCCTAGTAACATGTACAGTAGTAACATTCATTCCAGGTGAATAAACGATGCAAAATTTAGTTCCTAACCAATAAACAAACAAGTTACCATTTTGGCTGATTATCTTCTCTGAGACATTTGAGACATGTGCGTATTGTTGCTATCATAGCAAGCTCTCATAAATGCCACAAGAGTTACACGATCCACATTATGGGTTTTCTCCACTAGCTTGTCAAAAAACATAGCAGCTATATCCACCTTCTTTTCACTGCAAAGCTTTCTGACCAATATACTCACAGTACGAACCCACAATTTTTTGTCTAGTTTATCTAATAGGTTGAGGGCAACAGAAGACTCATCCTTCTTGCAATATTCATAAGCTTTAGTCAGCCGAGTAACTTCACATGGCGATTGTCCTTTGTTCATCATAACATCATATAAGGCTCTTGCCTCATCCAATCTAGACTCCTTGCAAAGTCCGCTGATCATAGCACCATAAGTGAAACTATCTGGTGCACAACCATGTTCACCCATCCTCTGAAAAAGCTTCAAGGCCATGCTAGTGTTGTTAGCTTTGAAGTATCCAGAAATCATACTAGTATAAGTTTGTTTTGTCGGAACTAACCCAAGCTTCACAAAAGCATCATCAAAGAGCTTTTCACTCTCACACATTCTATTTTCTTTACAAAAAGCAGAAATTAAGGTTGTGTATACATGTACATCAGGCATGATAGCTGATTTTACCATTTTAGTAAGAAATGCTAATGCTTGCCTCAGATCTGCTCGCTTGCAGCTTTCTGATATGAGAACAGTGTAGGTAACTCAATCAGCAGAGAATCCACTTTCAAAACCAGTTTTGAGCAACTTGTACGCATTCCTTGCCTCCCCTATCCTAAAAAGAGAATTGATAACAGTGTTGTAGGTACAAATATTAGGAGGGAGACCAGCTTTATCCATGACTTGCATCAACTCATAGGCTTGGGCTATATTACCAATTTTGCAGTACCCGTCGATGAGAGTCGAGTATGTGTTGACGTTAGGTGTAATACCTTGTTCCCGCATCCTGCTCAACAGCATCTCAGCTCTATTCAATTTTTCCACTTTGCAATACCCTGCTATCATTGCTGTATATGTATGGACATTTGGCTTGTAATTATCACTTCTAACAAGCTTCAAGAAAAGTCTAAAAGCTTTATCTGTCCAGCCCTTCTTACAAAGACCATCTATCAATGCAGTATGAGTATACACATTTGGTTTCCAGCCTTTCCGCACCATCTCCTCCAACAGTTCAAAAGCTCACTTAACACTACCCCTCTTGCACAACCAATGAATCAAACAGGAAAAATTTATCACATTTGGCATGAAACCTATATCAACAACTTGCCAAATATCCAAAGTGCCCTATTTATGCAATCTGCTTCACAAAATACATCCATAACCAGAGTACATGTTGCATTGTCCACGAGATATCCCCTCTCTAGCATTGCAACCAGCCATCTATCAGCTTCCATAACTCTTTTCAATCTGCAATAACCAACAACCATGGACTCAAAACTACAAGAATTAGGAGAAACCCCTCTCTTACACATTTCATCAAACACATCTTCAGCCAGATCAAGCCAACTCATCTCCACAGCAACATTTAAAACACAATTGAGAGTATGAACAGAGAGAACCAAGCCTTGATTTTGCATCTCGAAAACCATGTCCACAGCCTCCTTCAGCAAACCAACCTCCCAAAAGTTCCTCACCATATAATGCATCACTTCATTGGCCCTCTCAGAGTTTCCATTTCTCATCAAACATATTACCAGAACAAGATAAAACCTCATAAAGTGCCTGAATTTCGGGAGCTCGATAGCCCAGTAAAAGAAACCCAGTGCAACCATAGATCCCTCCGTATTAGTCAGAGATGCAGCCACAGTTATGGCCTCTTCTGGGGTCAATAAGTCGGAATTTTCTTTAACAGGAAAGTTACGCTTAAAGAACGCTGGCCAGAAACTGAAATGGGTTCTTTGTTGCTGTTGTTGGTTATATGATTCTTGGACTAATGAGGTGATAGTTGGACAAGTGAATTCGAAGTCGGGGATGATTGGCATAAGGGTCTTACAAAGAGAAAAGATTGGACAACGGGTATAGTGAAGACACCTGGATTCTTCCACAATCGGATCAACATTATCATAATTCATGCACAACAGAGCTTATGAAGAAACAGAACAAAAAACCACGAAATCTAAGTAGAAGGAGAAGAAAAGCCTGTACAGTTTTTAGCAACCATTGATTTGGTTACGGTAAGCTATGAATATGTATTCGCAGAGGCAGGGAGGGAAATGCAGACGACAAATAGACAAATATTTGAAAAATGGAAGTAATCTTTTTTGAGAAATATCGAAAAAGAAGTGATCTTATTTGGATTTATTTTTTAAATTACTACTTTATCAATATTTTTATTATTTTAGCATTGTTTTTATTATTCTTAAATATTTTCCTAGAAAATATGAATGTACCAAAAACGACAAAATTTTATTTATACATCGATAATATAAATTTTATACCAAAAAAAAAGTAGATGGAAAAAAAAAAAGTTTATAAACTACTCAAAAGAAAAATTTGCCCTTTCGCAAAAATAAAAATATAAAAAAGTCCAATTTATTGTGACAGTTAAAAAGTTTTAGAATTTTTTTTCAGAAGAACAAATGTGGAGTTCCAACTTATTGGACTGTTTTAATAAATTATTGATATTTAAAATATTCGTAGTGTTGTTTGTTTAGTTTTTTAATGATTTTTTTAGATTAATAAAATAATAACTATCTCATCCTAACATACTTTTTTACATTTTTAATACGTTTTTTACATTCTCAATACAAAAAACACCTAAAAACATACTATCAAAACGAAACAAACATTAAATTTTTATCGTAAAGCCTTGGACTACTTTTGCCTTTGAATCTTCCTTCTTCTTCTTTAGGTATATATCTACAGAGTACAGACCTTTACGAGGTGATCAGTACATAGAGTTTTACCAAGATCGCTCCTTTAGAGATATGAGAAGATCATCAATAGATAGAATACTAATAAAGGGTAACAAACACTTCGAGAAAAAAAACTTTTAAAATTTTCACGAACGCAACTTTTTGATAATATAGAGAAAATATTCTTTTCTAATACCAAAAGGGCCTTCAAAAGGCTACTATTGGTCTTCTTGCTTGTGGATGCCGGCATCTTAAAAGGAAGAGAGACATACAAGATTATATGTTTGTGTCTATCTTATGCTTGAAGTTTAAACAGAAAGAAAGGGGTGCATATTGAGTCTATGTCCAAAATTATTATATCGACATCAACTCATCATGAAAGAGCTCACTTTTCTGACTCCCTTGTCATCTTTCTCGAATTATTATTATTTTTTTAATATATTATGCAATTGATGTCCAAAATCATTATTTTGATTAATTCATTTTCGATTGACTAGGTGATAACGGTCAAATTGTTACATAAAAGCATCACAATTAACTCTGTATTTAGTAGAAAATTGGAGGGTATTTCCTAGCATTAGTGCATTTTACTTAACTCGTCTTTGTGTTTTTGTTAGGTAAGGGCTGGATTGAATAATTGCTGAAAATTGGAGGCCAAGGGAATAATTTATGGGCTGCTGAGGTAATGTTGCTGAGCTGGACGAAGAAGCAGCCCCTTAGACAAGAAGCATCTTATCATTAATGACTATGTCTCCTCAAAGAGGCATGCTTGTCCCCCAGCTGCAATCTCAGCCACCTCTGCTGATCAATGAGAGCAATGCTGCCACTGCTAGAAGAAGAAAAGAAGAACAGCCAAGTTGGATTGCAGGCTCAAGACATTGGGAGGATTAAACAACTACAAGCATGGGGAGGCTATCTTGGAAGAAGAACCGGCTTCAAAGCTCTATAAAGGGAGCTGCATTCCCAGCATGAACAGATAGATCTGAGCGGACATACAACACACAAAACACAACAGAGAGAGAAGAAGAGAGCAGAGAGGGGAGAAAACTCCAAATGAAGAAGAAGTCCAGTAGCAGAAAGAGAGGAGTAACAGACCTCACTCGCCTGAGTGACTTTTGTCACTCAGGCGAGTGACCTGTTGCTCAGCCATCCAGATTTGCTTCTTCTCAATGCTTTACTTCTTTTCTTGTATTTTCTGTAGTTTGTATATGTAGTTAATTAGATTTCATTCTCTGGAACCTATGTAGTTTAAGTTTGTGAATGCATTCGGATGAATTTGTGTTTTGAAGTTAAAACTTTCATCTACCTCTTGATTAAATTGGCCATTTGATTGATTGTGCACAGAACTAAGTGAATCCCGGAAGGGTAAACAAGGTTCAGAATCATTTAGCTTCAACTTATGACTTGGAGGTAACAGTCCAAGGTTCTAATTGAGATAGGAATATACTTGGTTAGCATAAGCATTCATATAAGGCTTGAAAACTTCATGACTTTATGACTTGATTAATCATTGGAAAATAGTTTAATTGAGTTCATAAAGATACCTCTAGGAAAAATCGGAAGTGACTTAGAGATATATAAGTGCCTGAATGAGCATGAATTCATACCAAAAGAGTGCAATATCACAACTTGATTACATAGGGAAAAGAGAATGAATATCCAGTTTGTTGAGTCAGTCCCTAGAGTCGGAATTCTCACTCCCGTGCGTGAGGTTCCATTTGTCTTTCTTTGTCTTCAGTTCTGCAGAGTCACTTGCCTGAGTGACTTTACCCACTTGTGCAAGTGAGTGACACTCTGCAACTTTCTTTCTTGTTTGTCTAATTTTGTCTTCCGGTTATTTGAAGTTTAACTGTCCCTGTGGGATCGACCTGACTTATCCTATCTACAATTTAAGTTGGTAAATTATTTTGGGGGCTTCGACAACCAACCACTAGGTCTCTATAGAAAAAAAAATAAAAAATTCTCCCAATAATATTTTCACCACTCTCTATGCCCGAGTTGATAGCTATTCTAGAATTTCTTATTTAATATTATCGTCCAAAAAATACACTTTGAATTTCTTATTTAATCATTTTATTTTCTAATTTTAGATTATTAGTTTTGGCACCATAATCCTATGACAACAAATATGTGTATTTTTTTTTATTCTATTTAAGTGTTATTATTCACAAAGATATTTTGTAAGAAAATAAAAGAACATAAGAAGCTGAGTGCATTAAGCATTTTGTTCTTTTAGTAAAACGAGTATTAAATTGTTTGAATGTTTTCCTTGAAGTTAGGCACCTACAGACAGCTGTTTCATTTTCGTTTTATATCTAAATAGATGCAGTATTTTTATTTACTTTTTTTCCGAAACAAAAAAAGAAAGAGAAAAAGCATGTAAGTTCTAGAATAAATTTTTAGATGGTCATATAGCTATGTAAGCCCTAGCAATTTGCAACATTTTCCAAGTATTTTATGCAGAGGATTATGCAATATAAAGAAAAGTAAATAGGCACTTGAAATTAGGAAGAAAAGGGAAAAACTTATAAAAAAAAAAAGTAAAATATTTTTCGAAGATAGTAAAACTCAACTCCACTAAAAAAAAGATTTGAGGTTTGAACATGAGAGTTCAAATTGAAGTGCAGACTGCAGAATTTATAATTTTTGAATAGGTTAACGAGCCCTTGGGAAAGAAATGCTTGACAGCTAAAGCACGCAAGTGACTGTCTAAAGCTGCAATTACAAGCAAAATCTTTAGTTCTGTGTGTAAATAATGACAAAGTGAATTCCTATCGATAATAACAGGTAGAACAACGGGTATGCTCTCAAGTTTATTGAAGACTAGAATAAGATCAAAACAATGTGCTAGACATACTTAAATGCCCTAATCCACTAATAAGTAAGGTTATCGATGCAAACAACCCACTTTTAAGCGCCAAATTATGAAGACAACTTCAAGCTTTTCAAGGTAGCAGTAAGCAGGGCATTTTTGTTTGGATTCCTCTGTTTATACTCTTTCTCCAGTGCCAATGCAGAAAGCGATTGCAGCTCTAAGTTTTCCTTGTCTTCCTTGTTCCGGCCTTTCGTAAGTTGTCCAATAGCAAAAGAACACTGTAAAACCAAAAACAAAGTCTTTCAGGTTCAAAATGTAAAGCACAAGAAAACAAAGCAGAGTATGAAAGACTGAAATAACGTTCCAGCTCATAGTAAGAACAGAAATACAGTTCGTATACATGAATTGATAGTTAAAACTGGGTTAAGATCAGGTAAGAAGCAAATGTTTAAAGGTCTCACCAGGCATATACCGAATAGAGCTCTTGCATTCTTTCCACCAGTCAACTCTACGGTAGAAGTGTAATATTTTTTAGCTATCTGAAGATTTTCTAGGCCACCAAGAGTGTAGAGCACCTGTTTAAGAAGACAGACAAAGAAAGATGATCAACTCTATTTGTTACTCTTAAACATACATAATTGACTACTGTTATGTAAACTACTCCAGCTCTTAAATTATGCTGATTCGTCAATAACCAGGTAGGCAACCCCTTGCAGGGAGGATTTTACTAAATGGACCACTACAGCGTCATCCATGCATTATCTAGCACGCAAGGATTATCGCACAGAAGAGCCACTTACATCAGCATAGGCCAAGTGATATAATGGGACTGTTGGTTGCGCTAAAATGAGCTCTTCATAGCAGAAAGCTGCTTGCTTATACCTATATAAAATATATATCGTTGTCCTCAGGGACATGAACCAAAATCAAAATAAAATAAAATGGATCAACAGGCCTAATGAGTCTTACATTTGCAGAGACACGTATATTTCAGCAAGTTCCCTCCAGGCATCATGATCTGCCATGAATCTAGAGAGAAAAAAAAACTAATAAACACCACATTACGTTCATATATGAAAATCATCAAAACGCCTACGGAAACTTCTTACATTTCAAGATATTTATTGAGACATTCAATTGCTTGAGGAATGTTCCCTTGTGCTTTAGCCATAGCTGTTTTCCTCTTGTGTATAACCTGCATAAGTAGTAGATTCAGGGAAACAAACTTACACATATCACCCCCAACTATTTCTATCATATGACAAATATAAAAGTCATTTTACAATTCCCACAAAATTATTTTCCGAGTCATTTCCCAAGCCCATAAGACAAACCATTGTACGCCAAGGATAACACAAAGGATAGCTAGCTAACGGCAACATAGTATACCTCGTACCTGATCAAGCGGGTTTTCCTCCAAAAGGCTCAAGTAAGCTTTTTCTGCCTCTTCCCACGATCCTTTTGCTTCTAGCAACATCGCTTCTAGCCTACCTGTAAATTACATATTAAAATTTAAATGAATGCTACATACTACAATTCAACCAAACAGTTCACTGGCTCATTAAAAACCATGCATTCCCGCAGCAGGATAAAGTTTTAGTGTCCTTTCCCTACATGTGAATATACACCGACCCCAAATTCTGGAGGGGAATAAAGATAAATGTAATGAATCATAGATTGCTGGTCCACTAAGAAAAACAAAAAACAGTTTTCCTTTTGGCAGCAAGTAAAGTTGGCAACGAAACGAGTTACATTTCAAAAGAACTAAAGTGGTGCATCTGCTCTTCTACCTTTCAAAAGTGAGACAAGTTTCAGTGATATACAAATTTTCTGTACAGAAAAACCCACCAAATAATTTTAAAGCCGGAAGCTGTGGCGGGATGTTAAACCAGTCGACAAGTTTCACATATCAGGGGAATGCTATGACCTTCATATTGAAATGCAATCAGACAGTACAGAATCTAGAAAGCTTGTTTCACACAATTAAGGGTTTATATATATCTTGCTACATACAGGCCAAGTTAAGAAGAATGAAAGAAAAATAATTTAATTTCATTATGTTAGACGTTTCCCTCCTTTATTGTACCAAAAAAAGCAACAAAGTCACAAACTTAAACATAGTAATGCACATAACAACAAATAGCTTGGCAGGTGTGGACAGATTGCTTGAACATCACTTGTGGCACACCAAAGGGGTACCAATCTTCACGTGCTTAGCTTAGGTGATTTTCCTTTATATGTTCTGTTTCTCTCTCTTTAAAGTTAATTCTACAGCAAAGAGAAGAAATAAAAAATAGGACTATTTATTGGGGGGGGGGACATCATTCCCTGATAAGATGGATGGAGAGAACATTCAATTTCATTTCTAAAATTTTCTGAATATTGAGCAATGAGCATAGACACACTCATATTCACTTCCTAAGGGCTCACAATCTATCCTCTCCCTCCAAATGGTCTACTGTCCATCAAAGACATAGTCTGACAACTAAAATTTTGTAGGATTCTACCTAAACTATTCTTGCATAATGAGGTATCTACACATTACCTGCTAACTTAGCAGTGATTCTTCAGCGCATTAAAGTAAATATTACTTTTGCAGAAACATACTTTATTTAACACCAACAGATCATGTATCCATAAGTCAGCACCCATTATTTATCCAAAGTTTGCATAAGACAGCATAGGAGCATCCACATTGGACAAAAGATAGTATCCAAAGCCGAATACTAGAATTTAACATTGATCATGCATTCGGTCAAAAGCAGACATAAAATTTTCAATATGGTAAACAGTTTCAGGGGCACATTAGTCCCCCCCAAAAAATGGAAATTGTCTGCATATTCAAGAAAAGAAATTTCAGCAGATTGATAATCTTATAGGTAAAACAAGTGAAGTGTCATAGATTATTATTCATTTGAACAAAACAAATTTCACCAGATAGATAATCTGATAGGTAGAACAAGTGGAGGATCATAGACTATTATTCATTTTGCTTCTTCTTTTAGTGTAACAAATGTCATGTGTGCACTACAATCCCTCTTGGTCTCACGAAAAAATGCAACCAGTGTAGTGATTGCAGTGCACAGTTATACAAAACATAAGGCATTTGTAATCAGTATAACTCACCAACCCTTTTGCTTCCAGGAAACTTATTTTGTAGAATCTTGGTACAGTCCTACATAAGATCCAATTGAAAAGGCACATGAATTCAACTACGCAATCAGATATAACATAAGGCTAAGAAACCACATAACATTGGATTATATGTAGCATATTAGTTCTGCATTAAGAATTTATTTAAACACAATGGCGGAGTAGCAATACAGTGGACCAATACGCTTTCCCAAAAGATCGGGTAATTCCATATCTTTTATGGATTCAGGTAAATTATGCAATAACGAACATTTTCATAAATAACAAATTAACAACGAGAAAAAATAGAGATTGCAGTCAGAGATGAACACATTAATACTCCTATTCCGACGCATACAATGAATAAATACAGTCATTCCATGCATGTGCATAGGAGACTGAGGATAGATTCAATCAAGTACATGTGATCTTAAGGACTGCTTCCACTAAATAATAATAATAATAGTGATACCGCACCTACTAAGGTTTTTGAATGGTTAAAACTCCATTTCTGAACTCTTAGAAAAGCATTTGTTCCAGATACACTTACCTAAAGAACCCCCAAAGAAAGGGTTGAGTTTCAAGCTATTATAAGGAAATTAGCTCCTTTGGGAACATCCCATTTTCTACTAAAATTATCCTTCATCATGAAAATTTCATATCCGAAACCAACTCTGCCATCTTTGGCACCTTTCCCCACCCAAACAGATAGAAAATGAAAGAAGATACATTTACATACCAAAATAAGGAAAATTATAACTTTCTAGATCCTGAATAAAAGAATATTAAACAGTGAGGTTGGGGAAGAGGAGGTCTTCGACCCTTCATTGACACTAAAAGGTACCGGTTTTGAGTGCTAAAACTCCTACATAGGCCAAGCCAAGAATGTATAAGTCCAGAAGAGGTAATTAACCAGCAGAGATATCAATGCCTAGTTGGGAGACTTATTCATACATAGATATCCAGATATCATAACCGCAGTGAGCAGGGTAAGTCAATGCATGCACTCATCTAATCAAATACACTTCGACATGTTAACAGACTCCTAATAAGGTACCTAAAGGAGACTTCAGGAAAAAAATTCTGTATCAATTCAAAGGAGGCCATCTCCAAGTAGTATGTCTTTATTGATTCTAATTAGAAAGGGTACACTCCAGAAGATCAGTAGCAGGATACAGTACATTTGCAGGTTAGTTGGCACACAGTACAAAACAAAATGTAAAGATCATGAGTGGTGGCACAAGATATATGTGTAGCGCTTCAAGCATCAAATAGATTTTTTTGGACAGTCAGTACCTCCAATATGAATTATCTTTTTCCAGCAACAAGAAGCTGCAATTGCTGTAGCACAAATAGACTAATTCATCACAAGGCTAAGCATCTTCAACTACACAGACTCTACATCAAGGAGAAAGAGGAAGTTGGATTGATTATATGCCTACATCCATACATTCAAACTGGTGGCCATCTGGTGAACTATACCAAAGGAGCCATTGCAAGCAGGCCATGAATAAGATCTTCCAACCAGCCAAAGGACGAGTGTGTATTATCTATCACTGGCTTAGCCAAGGAAAATCTTTCACCTAATTTTAGCTTATCGACATAATCAGCCATCTATTAATAATTATAGGGATTTAAGTCTTTTGTAAATGAGCGACTGTCTCTTGTTCTAGACTGTAGTATGCCCATAAATCCATGTGTTTTCTCTCAAAGTGACTATAATCTGAAAATTCTTTCGTAAGGCTCGAAAACACATTCATTTTCAAAATACTAGAGGGGATACTATCAAGTAAAAGAGGCAACCAAACTAGGATCTTGCAAACAAATATGCACAACACGAGAAGAGTGATGGTAGCAGCAAAAATAATACATGTTGACAAAACGAAAATTCTTTCTTAGGTGATAACAAAAAGGAATGCAACCATACCTTAGCCACATCAAGGCATTGGCAGTCCATAGCAGCAACAGCTACTTCTTCATAAAGCGTCCACTCTACATTGGCAGAAAGGGATGTAAAAGGTTCATTTGAAGTATTAGCCGACAAAAGGGCGTGTTAATATTAGAAAAGATCTACATTGTAAACAAAGAGAAGCTTGCAATTGCTAGCGTGCATGCGACAAAACAGAAATTAATGCCAGGAGACACATATCTCATTCGTGACGGACACAAGTATTCACACAAGACCAGATACTTCATTAGATCATAAGCTTTTACAACGACGCAAATTTACAATAATCCTCGAGAAAATACTCGGAAAGGCATCGACAGAATCATTTAACTAACATGATCATCATCTAATAAGTGACAGGTATCATAAAAATTCCTAGTCTTAACATATAAGTTACAGTATAAATGACCCCTATGGTGTGTCCCCTTCTCAAGATTTCGATCTCTATGCCCACCTTATTTCTTCCAGATATATCTTCGAAATTATACCCCTTTACTAGTGTAATGGCCTGGTATGGGCATACCAATACCGATGGCACAAGAAGTTTAAAAATTTGAGCTCAAAATGGACACAGACATCCCAGAAGTCAAAAGCTTTTCTTTATGCATCTGATATGCAAGCGACTCACTATTGCAGGAAATTCCCTCTTACGAACCAAATCCAAATTATGATATGTATGGACACAACTGCCTAGGGTTTGTCAAGACATCCATCAAAATGTAGGCCAAGCAGATGCACGAAGGCAGGGCACAGTTTTACCAACAACAAATAAAAAGGTAAACTTAAGCCATTGGTTTCCTGAATAGGAAGCTCAATATCATCATCGTCACTAAAAAAATTTTGTAAAAAATAAAGTTGAAAACATAACCACAAATCGAATTCTTTTTCTCCTTTTCGCATTTTTACAGTCTTACACACTGATAGATAACTATCCAATCCAGCTCATCAATTAACTATCTAAAGTGAAAATTAGGTGACTTTTGTGCTTCATGAAATATAACCAAAATTAAGTTTCTTCATGTGCTCGGATTTCTCAGAGAGAACATCCCCATCAAACAGGTTTTGCAAAAGAAGAAAGAAAACTTCAACGAATCATTAATTCTGCAAGTATCAGGATCGTGTCCAATTCCTTCCGTTTAGTAGTAATGCTTTTTAACTTTGTTCGTTTTAATCAGAACCATTCTACAGTGAAAAAATTATCATTACCTACTCAAAAGAGACCCAACAGTGCTATTCAGCAGTAAACGGTTATCTACAATACTTGTTTCCTTGTCCTGCCGAGGGTAGATTTTCCCTAGTGCCTTAGCTTACAGCTAATTAATAAGGGAAAACTCCCATTGCAACTCCACATGGTTAGGCTCATTTAGGACCATCAAACAATTCAGGAGGCCGTATATAACTTGCAATTGAGAATTTACTACAACATGAATTTCATCATTCCCCATTTTTGCAGCCACCCAATCACTCTTCAGAATCAAACTCGAACTATCAGATCATAAGAACCAAATCAAAAAGAACTCATGAATCTTACCGCTATTCATATCTAAGGAATACTTCGTATAAATTACCCAAATATTTTATTGTTATTGCAATTAATGCTCAATTTAATAAAAATCTACACAACACGAAAAATATGCGAATATCCAACTTTTATTGCAATTTAGGCTCAATTCAGCATATAATGATCTGCCTAACACGAGATAAGACGATTTTGGCACGATAATCCGTGATTTAAATGAAAAAAAAAAAAATAGATACCTTCAGGGCCAAGATGGGATCTTTTGTTGGGGTCATTGAGGATGGACAATCCAAATTTCAAGACTCTATCAGAGCGTCTAAGCTTGAGCTTTCTCACAAGGCATAGGTATTCCCAAGCACCTCCTCCTCCATTCTCTACTTGACTCTCCAATCTGTTCACTAGCTCTTCCTCTGTTTTACTCACCATTTTCTTTGAAAAAGTCCCTGAAGGTGATGGTGGCTTATATCCGACACATGTACGGGACTCCTTGACCAAATTCCGGATCCCTTGACTAAATTGGAGGGATTGGGGAAAAAAAAAAAAAAAAGCGAACTACATTCCCCCCGAGTTTTGACCTTTTAACTAAACCATCCCCGAGTTTTGTTGATACTACATTTTCCCCCTTTGACTTTCGGTCAACTAACCATTTGCACCCTGGTTCACGGAAGAGTGATGGAAAATGCTGATCTCATCACTTCTCTTCACCAAAAAGCCCTTCTGTAAGCGAGGACACCTTTTCTCTCTTCATAAATACTCAAATTTATTTAATATCCCATATTGAAAATCCATAAACCAGAAAATTTTCAAGAATCTTGATAAACCTCGTTTCTCTTGGAAAATTCTCGGAGTTTTGTTCGAGCAGGTAGTGGTATTTTCTGATCGATTCGTTACTCAATTATTTGTTATTGAAAAAATATTTTTCAGAGATGTCCAAAATCTGGTTCCTGAGGGGAGTTCATATTTCGATTTGATCACCATATTGGAGAATACGATCTCATATCTGTTTGTATTTTGAAGTCAAAGGTGTTGTAGTGTGGGAATTATGTCTGAATTTGGAGAGATTGGTTCAAAGAATAACTAATAGATAGGGTAGTGATGGCGTCGACGGTGGTGATGGAGACGGCAGGATACATTGTTGCAGTTGTTGTCGATGATGAATGGTAGAAGAAGGGGTTAATTAATTAATTACTAGAGAAGAAGAAGAAAAACATGGCTTAGTGGCTTACTGCTTGATCGGGCTTTTGGTTTCATAAAGGTTTTCAGAATAAATTTCCTAATATTTTCCGCCGGAAGTTGCTCTGGGTTTTTTGGTCATTCCATGCTTTTCCGGGGTTGACTTCTTGTTTCACCCAGTCAAAGGGGGAAAAAGTAGTATCACTAAAACTCGGGGATTGTTTAGTTAACGGCCTAAAACTCGGGGGGTAAAATATAGTTCGCCCAAAAAAAAAATCAAAGGAGAAGGGGACGAGAAGAACAAATATGATGAAGAAGAATAAAGCAACGAGTCTTGGTTATGCTAGAGGCGCCCGGGGGGGAGGGAACGGACTCAATTCTAGTTAGGGATGTCAATTCGGGCAGTTCAGGTGGTTCGGGTGTTATTCGGTTCGATTTAATTGATTTTTGACTCTCAAAGGAATTGTCTAAAACTGAACTGTAGATTCTGGCAAATCGAACCGAACCGACCGAATAAGCATTCAGTTTTTCGGTTCGGTTTCGTGGTCAACCGAATTAAAAAGTCAAATCCAAAAGTCAAATTTTATATTTTGTAATTTGCAGTTTATCATTTCTCAGAAAATTCTGCAAAATAAAAATTCATTCATTCATAATAGAAACACCATTCAAGATACAATTTCTGAAATCAAATCACAAATAGAATTATGGAAAAGTTCAAAGTCCATACACCATACTCCATAGTCAAATAGTCCACAATACGACAACAATGTCAACATAACAAATAAAAGAGTTCCACAAGTCCACTGAATGACAATTCGGAAATCAAAAGTTTCACAACAGTAAATCTGAAATCAAAACAGAACAGTAAAAATTTAAACTTCAGTTTTTTGTCTTCATTCTTCAACTTGGCACTTGAACTTCACAGCTAGCAGCTTACTTCAGTCTTCAAATTAGCAGACAACAGTTCAACTTGGCAGTCCTGAGTCTTCAATAGATCAAATGGCAGCAGGCAATCAACATTTAGGCATCTTAATCCTTACTTTCAAGTCTGCAAATTCAAAAATGTAGCAATAGACCAATAGTGCATTAGTGTTGCACTTTCAATCATAAACCTAATTGTAACAGTCATTAAAAATAATAACAAAAAAAAAATGAGCCCAAAACCTAAGCTAATTAACCAATCTACCTATCATTGAAGTTCCAACTGCAGCTCTGATCACGGCAAATCCATCTCACCCGAGAGTCTTTCTCTTTTCAGCAACTGAAAAAAAAAAAACAAACAGGCAACAATTAGTCAGTTATATGAAATTCATAACAAACTGAAAATACAAAAGTTGAAATCACAAATGAATTCAAAACAGTTGTTACCTTCTTCAATCCATAGACGATCTTCCCAAGTTTCTTCAACTTTTTCATTTTCTGAATCAATAGCTCCCCGAAGACAATCTTGAGCACAAATCAAGGTTTGAACAGTCTTTAGAGTTAAAAAAAACTTCTAAAAGCATCTAATACCCTCTCACTCGTATTAAAAATAGATTCAGAAGTAACCGTAGATACAGAGATTGCTAAAATATCACGAGCCATCAAAGAGAGGATAGGAAATCTAGGGCTGTTAACCTTCCACCAGTTCAGAATTTCATATGTTGGACCACCTATTTCATTTGCCTCATTCAAATATTTATCCGATTCTGAGATTGCACTAATATTTCTTCCACCAGCTTCTACACTTTTCTTCTTCAACAATTCTAACTAAATCTATCTCTAAGCATCTTGGAAAGTTCGATATCAACCGGGAAAGCTCTTTTCCCCGATGGAGCAGATTCAGAAGAACTAGATTCATGATCATGAGAAGAAGCTGAACTAGAACTACAATCGAATCCATGGATTCTAACATAATTCTTGTACAATTCTTACAAAGAAGTTTCAATAAAAGTCTTTTTTCTCCCCCCATCAACTATCCCATACACGTCACATAAAACAACTTCTAAGTAATCTAATTTATTTCTTGGATCTAAAATACATGCCATATAAAGACTTACATTCATCTTTCTAATGTCACCATAGTACTTATCAAACTTGGATTTCATCATTAAAGCCATAGCTTGCTGATCAACATCAAGAGACTCATTAATAGTTTTCTTCAACAAAACATCAATTACAGTAATATCATCAAAACAGGAATATGAAGAGACAGATTTGGTACGCGATACCTTTAATGTGATCTCATAAAAATGATGAAGCAGACCAGCCAGACTCCTTGCTTCCATCCAATCATTTGCAGTAGGCAGTCTAGGGCTTGAATTTGGCACTCAGGTTCAGGTGTCAAAGTATCTCTATAATGCGCTTCGCTGGAATCATACCTCTTGAATGCTCTTTCGTATGCCTGAGCAGTTTCCAGCATCAAATAGGTGGAATTCCACCTGGTACAAACATCTAAAACCAGATTCTTCGAGATGTTACACTTTTTAATCACAGCACATTTTTGAAACTTGGTAATTCTTTGAGGAGACTGCCTAATGTATTTGACTGCAGCTCTAATCCTCTCAACAGCTTTACCAATATGACTCAAACCATCTTTAACTACAAGATTCATCACACGAGCCACACAACGGACATGCAACCATTTTGCACCCAAAAGAGTTTTTTCACGATGCGAAAACTGTTCTTGCAAATACTCCAAAGCACTATCATTAGCACTAGCATTGTCAAGAGAGATAATAAACACATTCTCAATTTCCTATTCATGCAAACAGTCCTCAATTGCATTCCCAATATCTAAACCCTTATGACTTGAAATAGGGCACAAACTTAAGATTTTTTTTTCAAGTTCCAGTTGTTATCCACATAGTGAGACACATGTAGTCAATTTGTTGCAAAGAAGTCCAAGTGTCTTTTGTCAGGCATATCCTACTCAAATTTCCTTTAATCTGAAACTTAAGTTTTTCCTTCTCAGCTAGATATAACTTATAGCAATCATCAGCAACAATTTGTCTACACTTTGGAACATACAACGACTGCAACTTACATAGGAAATACCTAAAGCATTTTTTCTGAACAAATATAAATGGAAGCTCACCAACTATGATCATATAAACGAGTGCCTTGGTTATTTCCTCTTCGTTATACTTCCAACTACCTACACCCACTGGTTTTCCATCCTTACCCTCCTCAATAATTAACTTACTCTGACCAGGATCATGATTTAAAGCCAAATACTTCTTACAAACCAATAAATGCCCACGGAGATTACTAGTTCCATGTTTTCTACTTCCAGCCCTATGCTTAGCACTATAGTACTTACATATAACCCAAATTTCACCTTCAACATCTTTAAAAGTAGAAAAGAGAGGCCATACCCATGACCTTTTGCGAGTTACCCTTCGAGGTTTAGGTTTAGTAGGCGTACAAGCAGCTTGACCTTCACCTTCTGGTCCTGGTTTCTCTTCCTCCTTCATTTTGATCTCAACATCAATCATTTGCCCATCTCCTTCCTCAAGTATACTACTCAGAGTCAGAGGAGGAGGTGAGAAATCCTCAAACTCGTCCATCTCGTCAATGTCAACAGCAAAATCATCAATCTGAGCCATCTAAACAAAAAAAGGAAAAAAAACACAATATTAGTTTATACTTCACAGTTCAACGTTAGTTTACATATTACAGTTCAAAAATAATTACAATTTTTAGAAGTTTACAATTCACAGCTACAACTAATCCAACTACATCTACAAGTTTACACTTCAGCAGTCAACACTCAACAGAAACTCACACCACAACTGAACAACATTCAACAGACAACAATCACAATTGTCACACCCGTTCACATTCAGATTCAATGAAAGCTTACAAAATACAAAGTAACACATAAAACAACTACACAAGCTGTCAGCTTACAAAGTTCAACTATCAGCTGTACAACAGTACAAGTACCAAAGAAAAATACACTCCATAGAAGGCACAACACAGAAAATACAAAAAATAAAAATAAAAAAACAATAATTATTCAAAACGAATATATAATTATATACCTTAGCTTCTAGCTCCAAGGAAACTGGGAAAGTGAGGAAGAAACCGCTTTTAGCTTCGCCGATCTAGATTTTTCAGTGTTTGTTACCAGAGACGAGAGAGCTGAGAGAGGAACAAACCCTAGCATTCACAGAGAGCTCAGATTTGGAAAACCCTAGTTAGATTAGCAGCTTATCGTCAAACGACTGGGAGCTAAAAAGTAATTACCCGTCCTAAGCCCCTAACCCAGTAACCCTAGTCCTAATCCCCTAACCCAGATTCTGAAAAGTGAAAACTCGTCGACTAAATACCCCGATTAACTAACAGCTAACTA